AGTACTCGTATTGCAGTAAAAGTACTCTTATTGCAGTAAAAGTACTCGTTGTGACTGATGTGACATTATTATTTCATACTGAAGCATCAGCGTTAGAGCAGCGTGCTGTACATACTTTAACTACTTTATTTACAGTCACATAGTCCAGCGGTTGGCAACATAGGGGTCGGGACCTCCAAAGGGTCACCAGATAAATCTGAGGGTCCAGAGACGATTAAAGGAAGAGAAGAAGAAGAAGAAGTTCCGATGCATGAATCGTTATCATTTTGTACTTTTCTCTAATGTTCGATTTTTATTTTCTAAAACATTGGTTTATTAATCTGTTTCTGCATCAAACAGATTATTATAGTTATATAATAATCACTGTTTATTATATAACTATTCATTATATAATGATTATAATATATTAGTTATATATTCGAGCTGAAATGTCTCTTTGGTCTCAGAGCAGTTTTTTAATAATGTGCTTTATTTTCTCAGCTTCTTTGTGTTTTAAATCTTACAAACTGACGCTGTCACACAAATAGTGTAGTAATAGTACAATAATACAATAATACCTGTGTACTTATAAAGTATAAAGATGGAGCAGCATGTCAGAGTAATTCTCATGTCACTGTCAGATGTTTTCCAGCAGACTGATTTATGAAAGGAGTCTGGATTCTCTTGAGTCTGGGTCCCTCTGGGTCCCTCTGGGGTCCTGGTCCTCATCTTTTAGTTTTTTAAAGGAACAACAGGACTCATGCAGGAAATACAAGAAGAGGCTTGTTGTACTCACAATGTAAGAGGTCCGGTTACCCCTCAGGAAAAACACCGTTAGCACCGTTAGCTCCGTTAGCTTCTAGCCGCCGGCCATGTTGAGAGCTGTTGAGATGCCTCCAATCTCATATTAATAATGATTTATTTCTACTAATATTCTCTGTTCTTTATTGTAACCGTGTGTTTTTACACACCTGATCATAGATTTGCAGCATTATTATGTGAACTGTTATATTCAACTCACTGGACATCCAAAGACAAAAGTACAATAATATTAATGATATGAACATTAAGACAAACCAGAGACGGTTTATTGTCAAGAACGTTTACAAACAAGGAATCTGACTTTGTGAAAGTGTAGAATACATCATTTAAACATTGATTCTTAATGTTCTAAGTGTTTCTGATATGTATTCACGGTTCCTTGAGTCAGAGGAAGGTCTGCTGCTCAGAGTGCGAGTGTGTGTAGAGCCGTGTTGTTGGAGGAGATGTGGAAAACTGTGTGTGTCTTATCTGAGTCTGTTATCAGTGAGCTGTGAGAGGCTGCTTTTCCATCACGCGCTCTTTTTCCTCTTTTAACCCGACAGGAAGTGGTGAACCTGAACCAGGCTGGAGGTCAGAGGTCAGCGGGCTGATAAACATCTCAACTCCAGAGCTCTCCTCCTCAGTGAGCCGTGTGGGAACACGAGCTCTGAGGCTCCACACGGCTCCATCATGAATAAAGAGCTGACTCTAACCCTCAGGTCTTCAGCATCATTAACATAATAATATCTAATGTTGGTAACGTGACATCTCTCAGGAATGCATTCATATCTTAGAATTAGCAGCAGCATTGAGCAGGTGAGGGTTCGGTGCTCTACACACACACACACACACACACACACACACACTAGATGTAACACCTCAATGGGCTCACATGTTTTGGTCAAACTGTGAAAGTTTGTCTTCATGAAGTTCTGTTTTCTTTGATGGTATTTGATGATGATTCATCTTTGAACAGAGTTTAATGTTTTCCTTCTGACCTTTCTTCAGATTATTTACTATAATAATTATAATTTAAGAAGAGATGATGATGATGATGTTCTGAGCCTCTTAAGCTGCTTTCTTTATTCAACTCATATTCTATTGTCTTTATTTTGAAGCTGAAGCTGTGGATGGTTGTTTGGCTGCATTAACCCTTTCAGTGGTTGTTTATTATACACATTAAAGACTAAAAGATTCAGATAAAAATGAAACAGTGACTAGTTTTGATTTTATTCTAGTTTTCTTCCATAATGAACTGTTCTCTTTGTAAACATTGATCAGAAATAAGAAGCTCGTTCTTCTCTCTGAAGAATCTGTTTTAGAACTCCAGATCCCAGCCGGACTCCTCGTCAGGAGGAGGCTCCTCTGCGTCCTCCGGGAAATAGTCAAAGTTGCTGTTGTCCAGCGGTCCGTCCACCTGGTAGAGAGACAGACGTTATTCATATTCATATTAATATCACTAAAGCTCTGATGTGGGAGCTGTTGGCTCACAGAGACCCTGAAGGAAACTCACGGCGGGGGTGAAGGGGGAGGCGATGGTTCCCTGGCGGAGGCCGTCCCAGTTGAAGCCTTCGAACCACCTGAAGGACCAGAACAATGAACGTGTTTCCATGAGAACAGTAAGAGAGCACTCGAGAATGGTTATGGTGTCATCTCACTTGTGCTTCTGGATGTCCTTCGCTCCATTCTTCTGGTTCCCCAGCCTCTCTGACGGATTGTCCCTGAGAGGAAACGCACGGATTAAAGATAGTTTTTAAAAAACGGATATTTTTGGCTTCCTGTTCACATGGAAACAGAGTTTTCGGGTAGTTTAAAAAACGCCCTCGAAGGTGCAGATTTAAACAAAAAAAACGTTTAAAGGTGTCTGGGAAACGATGACGTCATCTCCCAAATTTCGCTCATGCTCGTCGCTGCTTTGCGTAACGAGCATCGGTCAGAAACGACAGCAAAGATGGCCGACTACCGGATCGTTTACATTTCGTTAGCGTGTCGTCCGCACAATGTTGTTGGTTTCACCTCAGATGTTGTTTAGCGATTGTGGCTAAGCAGGGCCGTCTTTCAATCAGAGGGTCGGCGGTTCGAACCCCGGCTCCGGCTCTGCTAGTCGCATGTCGATGTGTCCTTGAGCAAGACACTTAACCCCAAAATGTCTCCCGTAGCTGTGCCTACGGTGTAGAAATGTGATAGACTGAATTGTAAGTCGCTTTGGATAAAAGTGTCTGCTAAATGACTGTAACGTAATGTTTACTATTTGTTTACAGTGAGCTCAGTGCTCAGAATCTTCTCGTCTTAAAATAACCTAACAACATAACTACAGTAAATAAACAACCGTCCTCAGTAACTTTACATAAAAGGCTTAAAGTCCACATGTCTCTTGGTTTCACGTGGGACTCGTACAGCGGTCTCCTGGGTGAAGGTCCTGTGTTTGTTTGACCCTGATTGAGGACGGGAGGACTCTGACTGGTACCTGAAGGCAGCACGATGTTGTCTCGCTCAGAAAGAAGGCAAATTTTATTTATTACGGTTACGGTATTACGGTAAAACTTACTTTTGGAGATATAGTACTTAATGATCTTCTTCGCTGGTATTTAACATATTCTTGACGTAGCCTTTATGAACCTACTGACCCGGAGAGCGTTTTAGGGTTGTTTTTTAAAACGTAGAAGAAAATCTCGGTTTAAAGAATTATCTGTATTCGTGTCGACGGACCTTTAGATCGTAGAGACGTTTAGAAGGAAAAGCAGCGTTTCACTGTAATCTGAAAACCTGCAGAGACGTTTGATGAGGTTCGCGGCGCTCTTGGTGATCTTCTTGGGAAACTCGATCATGTCGATGCCCTTCAGGATGATGTTGTAGGTCTGCATCGGGTCAGAGCCGGAGAAAGGAGGACTGGAGGCAGAGAGAGGAGAACCGGGTTCATGAGCGCCGGAGCTATTAATGACTAATATTTACCCCTTTCTGTCCTCCAAATGAAGGATTTAGAGCAAATCATCATGAAAAGTAACAGTTGGACTCTTTCTTTCTGTAGTGTCGGACAGTATCGTCTCTCTAGTGATCTAGTGCTTTGTGTACATCTTTGTTATGTCGTCAGTATGAAAACGAGACCAATAGAAAGTACATTCGGATACTTTTGTGGTGGAGACACAAACTAAACATCAACGTGACACAAGTGTGTCCTGTACTCTTATCGTATGAAATGGTTATATGTCGGATTTCAAGGTGTGTCTGAGAAACAAGCTGACATTAATTGTCACGATCTTGTTTTATTTTGAAGTGTCCCATGTTTCTTTGACTTCCTGTCTTTGTGGTCTTTTTCTGTGCAGCAGCATCGTTTGTCTCGTCCTCTAGTTGTGTTCAGCTTGTGTGGACGAAGACAGTCTCAGTCCTCCAGTGATGTTCCTTGTTTTTGAACCTGATCCGTTAAGTAAACCCAGTTTGATCTAGACCTCATCCTGCAGGTCTGCATCGTGCACTTGAGTCTAGATTAACGTACCATGGATTCAAATGTGTAGAAGTTGGACTGTTTACCTGCCGCTGAGCAGCTCAAAGACCAGTATTCCCAGAGACCAGCAGTCGGCGGAGCTGTCGTGGCCTTTGTTCAGGATGATCTCAGGGGCCACGTACTCGGGGGTCCCACAGAAAGTCCACGTCTTCTTCCCCAGACCCACTTTCTTAGCAAAGCCAAAGTCCACCTGATCGAACACAAACACACAACGTCATGGATGTGTTTTCTCTTTTTGATGAATATCTGACCATGCCTTGTGGTGTCACAGACCAGCTTGGCATATCCTCGGTGGTCCAGGATGATGTTCTCGGGCTTCAGGTCTCGGTAGATGATGCCTCTGGAGTGCAGGAAGGCCAGCGCCTCGATGACGCAGCCGGTGTAGAAGCGAGTGATGCCGTCGTCGAACGATCCTCTGAGAACGGAGGAGAAGCAGAGAGATGCTGAGGGACTTCAAGGTCTCTTAAAGGTAGAAGACTCACTATCACACCTGTCTCACACCTCACCTGTCTCTCAGCTGCGTCCACAGCTCTCCTCCCAGACACGCCTCCAGCAGCATGTAGAGATATTTAGAGTCTCTGAACGTCCGATACAACCTGCAGGAAGACGCTTTAAAAGTTACATCTGAAAGGAATGTTTTCATGTGCAACCAGTGAACAGGAAGTGATCATATTAGTACTGAGGAGGAGTGACGTGGAGACGCCGTATACGTCTCTGGTAGAGACCTGTCAATCACCGTGTAGCCCCGCCCTAAAGCATCCCCT